GGATGAAATTTCGTTTATTTCCTTGTGAACAATTATCAACAGAATTATAAATTCCACATGAATTTTTTTTACATGACTATATATTGAATAGTGTTACTTTTGTAACAACAAAATTTAATGCCTGTGAAACCATTTTAGATGACAAATCAACAAAATTTTATCCCCACGAAAATTTGTGCTTCTAACACTGGCTGTGGCCTTCAACTCGACATTTAGATATATCAACGACGTATTGTTAAAGATGTACACGCTATAACTTGCGTCAGTTAAAAATTAACTTGGAAATATATTTATTTTGTTTACCAAATAAAGTTACGAAAATATTGTAAATTACACAATTGGAAATGAACGCATTATAAAGATCTCAAATTATTATACATTTATTGACTGGGTTCGAGGGCAACATGCATTTTGTCGGACCCAAGAACCAAACTGTTTGCCTGAGGCGGTTAGGCCGAAGGCAAACAGTTTTGTTCGAGGGGCCGACAAAACGCTTTTTGCCTGAGAACACAGTCAATAAATGTTTTGTTATACCTTTTATTTATTTATTTTATTTTTTTTGACATACATGTATGTCGAACACCAACGAATGCAAATGAGATGTAGCTGACCCTACCCATTATGTGACGTAAGCGGTCCAACATCTAATCGACAGGTCCAATATCTCACTCCTCGGTCAAACATCGATTTTTTTTATGCCCACTCAGTAAAACATTGGAAACGTTAGACTTTTATTAGTATTGATTTATATAGGAACAAATATTTAGAGGTATAACAAAATTATTTATTGTCCTACTAGGAAAGTAATGCCTCTATTTAAATTCATGCATCATGTGACACCGTCGCTACTTTTAGATTGATAAACAAAAATGGCGTCAAGAAAACGAGGTAGGCCATTTGGTATACAAAATAACTTTTGACATGGATGGCATACGTTTTATGCTTAAAGATACTTATCTTTGAAACAACCAGTATTAACCATCTACTCTGTAATGACAGATATTAACTTTTATTCAAAATCATATTCAAAATGCAACGTACCTTGTTGTCTATGATTTCCCGCGGACATGCATGTCTACATACTGTTTACACACTTCCTTCATCAATATTCATGAATAAGCTGAATTCTTAATTGCAGATCTTGCTTAATTGTTTTGTAATTACAACGACTTATTTAGTAAAACTTTGTGGAAAGTAATTATTTTTTATTACAAATCATGTTTTTCAAATCATTTAATCATTTTGTTTCTCATAAAAAAATCGCATTTATATAGCCTGTTTATCTTTAATTAACAATGATTATTTCCATTTTTATGTCGACACGATATATCCTGGTGAGTTTGAGATAAAAGATACCACAGAGTCCCGATCATGACAAGGAGCACACGGCGGGTGTGACCGGTCGGCAGGGGATGCTCACTCCTCCATGGCATCTGATCCCACCTCTGATGTCTTAGAGGTCCATGTTTGTCTGCTCCTATTTTGTAATGTATAATGGACTTTTGAGCTCGAATACTGTTCATAATCTCCACATATTTCACTTCTACAGTTCTTGCTAATTCAAAGTTTAGTGACCTGTCTAAAAACTGGTCCAGTTTGAGAATTGGTCATGTTCCATTTGTGAGCATCCCTTAAGGGTTGCTTTAACATTATTATGTATTGAAGAAAAAACAGCATTTGTGTAGGCTTAATTATTAGAATTATTGGAGGTATCTGTGAACAATCTGTATTCAAGAAGACTAATCAGGTGAAATTAAAAAAAAAACTCAGTTTGCATGCAGATATCTTTTAGTAAGGATGGGTTAATGACAGACAGATTTAACTAGTTTAGCTTTCATTACAATCATGCCTGCATGTACGTGATGATTGTTATTAAATGCTGCTAATATCAGGCAGATGCAAAGCAGAAACCCGAATTATTATACAAATGCAATTGTCAGTACGTATAGATTCTTACATAATGAAGGTGATCATTGAAACGTCTATTGTCATTCACACCTTCCTCACACTTTATTGATTTCGGCATTACAGTGATGGGGCATTTACCTCTTACTTTTGAAGAAAGTGGATTATCTGGGAAAGTAAATAAATAGTTGGTAAATCAGTCTCCATTGATCTGTACAAAGAGTAAGATTGATGAGAGGCCGATGTCATTTGTTTTGTTTTCTGGTCTGTTTTTATGGATGGATTCTCCTGAGGAAGTTCGATACATAAGACTAAATTGTAACTCTACTAGCAGAGATCTATGTGTGACCTTTCTCTGTATCTCCATAATGTGTCTTCATTAGGCATTAATTTTCCAAGGTTCTCATTCAGAACCTTAAAACATGGGTTCTGCAGGTGTCAGTTGCTAAGGTCATTGTCCATGAGTAGATTAAAATATGTCAGAGAAAGAATAGGCAAGAATTTAAGAATGAGTACTAAATCTGGTTTTTGGTAAATTAAAATGCACTTGAATTATCTGAATGAAATATGAAGATAACAAACAGTAATGAAGATCAAAAGTCCATTGAAAGAATACAAATTTGAACAGAGCAAACACAGACCCTTAAAATCATCAGTGGTGGGATCAGGTGCCATGAATTTAGTTCATCTCGAAGATTGTCACTGATCTCCTTGGAAATGTTTTAGTGAGATTACAGTAACTGTATCAAAATATCCTTGAAAGGAACGAAAACAATATCTGTGTAACAGAAAAACATGTATTATAAATTAACAGGTATTTGAATTCTTGAAGAGCGGAAAACTCAATTTTAATTCTCTTCACAGTTCCATTGTTTTTACCTTTCAAGGATGTAATCCTGATTGGCTCAGGAGTGATTTAATGAATTGCCTTAATGTACACTCAGTATAAAAGAACTCATCTGTATTCCATTTAGGTCATTCTCAAATAACACAACAGCTCCAATACTGTGATATAGCAATTAGTTATTATTATAACTGCAGACAGCCATTAAAAACAGTAAGGGTTCAGATATAAGTCAAATCTTCTTTGACAATACCAATGAACACAAGCAATTTGATAACTTAGGTTGGATAGGGAATTTTTTTTTTTTTAAATTAAGCTCAGTAAAAGGATGAAATTACGTGAATTTAGTTGTTAACCTTCCAATAGTGATTTAGACCCCCAATATCTAAGTTCTTTTTAAAACTACTGCGTAATTTCTTATTTCATTATATTGCGATGTTTCTCTGAAAAATTGCTATCAGCAGTTTATTAAGAGCTGAGTGCAATTATACATATATCTTGTTAGTTCTGCAAGTCATTGTCCAGAAGGGCATTTGCATGGGTAAATGGGAAGAAAATGTGTAAATTTCATGATCTCAGTCCTTCATTTTCACTTGCATATTTCAAATTGACTTGCATTTTACAAATATTTCTCACTAATTTTGATTGCAATAAATAATGTTTTCTTGGTTAATAGAAAGGACTGTATACGATAAGAGTCAATTTTGCCTCCCTTTAATTAACGTTTTAATGGGAAACAAAACTCCCCTCCATAACGAAAGAGCGCACCAATGGAAATAATCTCGAAACTTGCACTTTCATTCAATTGATTGGAGAATGGGTTTTACTAAAACATCATCATGTGTTGAAAAGTGCCATCCATAAAAGGTGTGTACCCAACCTGAATAAGAAGTTGGGACTTCGATCCATATCACTTTGACATATCCATGGTATTCAGTGTTTGAGATTCCGAAGTTCAACTGTACTTGTGAAGCATGTGGCAAACCATGTGTTATTGTTTGAACTTTTTGTAGCAAATCCATTTAAGATAAATAAATGGAGACAATATATTATCGTGTCAAAGTTATACCTAGTCTGGTGTATATTTATTATTTGCATAAATTGCATTTGCACCTATTCTTTTTTTCAACACGAATGTATGGGGATGGCTTGTTTGATATGATTAGAATTCAGTACCTTGTAAATTGTAATACTTTAAATGTCAGATCAATAGGTTTGCTTTTCAACATGTCAACATCCAAGGAATTAACTTTGAAATTTTTTAAACGAAGTGGCCAAGTCACTTTCATATTTGCAAACAGAGGGAAAATTTGAGTACAAAACTTTGGAAAAATGAAGCAGATTTTTTTTTTTTTTTTTTACGAATTGGCCTCTGCATTACCATCTTTTTATTATATCTAATAAATCAGACCAAAACTGTAGGAGCAGTAGCAATTTTAATGTATTTCTAAGAAATCTCTATTTTTAGTAACCATGGAAACACCGTTCACTGAAATCAAAAACCGATACACAGCTAGAATTATGTATCTTAGTGTAGTCTACTTGTGTGCCTTGTATATAGTTATATTGAAATCAGACCAAAACTGTAGGAGGAGTAGCGTTTTGAAAAATTGTTTACAGACGGACCTACAGACAGACAGACAGACGAAGGACACCTTACTATCCCATACTGGTCTCTGACCAGTAAAGCTAAGAATTAACAAATTTAAAAAAAATGTCTAAAATTTTAATTTTTTCCCCCAAAGTCCTGAAATTTTGGTCCGGTGATCTTGAAAGAAAAAAAAAAAAAAAACAATAAAACAAAGTTGCCTGAATAAACTCAAATAACTGATTATATACATTGTTGGAAAAGAATTCTTTTGATCAGAGAGGATAAATTTAAATATCTATGATTAAACTACACAGACAGTTAGTAACAAGGAAATGTCCAACCATGTCAGCATGCAACCTTGTCAAGGTCATGAATTATGCTTAAATGTCATTTAATTAGATTTGTTTCAAAATGTCTTAGAAAGATATAATAATTCTGTCTGACTAATGTTAAAATATGTATACAGCATATTTCTTTTCTGCACATATTCTGAAAAGCAAACCTAGTACCATTTTTTTTTTCTTGATATAAACCTTTGTCATTTCTGCAAACTACTGTTAAGTAGAGAGGTGGGCTAAATGGGAATCACCATATCTATGCAAAACATGTACGAGCCATAACTCTTGTTTTTACAGGAAAACACTTGATGGATAAATTTTGATATGGTCTAAAGGTATTACATACTCCTCGGCCAAAGTAATTTGTGCAACTTCAAGGTCAATGGCAGGAAAAAAATGCTAATTTTGTCTTTAATCCCTAACTTTTGTTGAGAAACAGTAGCAGACTTTACTCAGCACAAAGATTGCATAGAACCCATTAGGGTGTGTTTGGATGGCATTTTAGGTCATTTTGACATGTTCAAGGTCAATAGGGAGAAAAAAAAATATTGAAGCTTATAATGTCTGTGTCTTATTGTCATTGAGAAACATGGAGAGGTCTCTTCTTCTGGGTGTGTGTTGACCTTGACCTAAGGTCATTTAGACAAGAAAATGGGCAAAAAAGTGTGAAATTTATGTTGTCCAATTAAGGCACAATCTTTATACAGAAAATATTTGAAGCCCACATGCCAATTGTTATTCGGATTAAAGACCTATGAAGTGTAATTGTGATAACACTTCAAGTACTGTAAATCAATTATTTATTCTCGAGAACTTTATTTTTGCGTAATCACACGAGTTTGTCTGCTCGCAAAAAATTAATTTCTCACGTATATTTGTATTAATAAGAAATATACACAACCAAAAACCATAGGTCGCGAAAATTTTGTTTCTCTTATAATGGTACAAATAGCTGACTCGCGAAAATAAGATGTTGCGAAAATAAAGTGATCTACAGTATCTTTAGTTTAAATGAATATTAAGAATTTTGTTTCTTAACACAATATCTAGTACAGATTCATATTTTATTGGACTAGCAGGGGAAAAAAACCATTAATTATGTTTTATCAAGGTTGGGTGTCAGATTTTTTTAAAAAGAAAATTGAAAGCAGGGAAAGTACATGTATCAGGTTGTAATGATTTTTAATGTTTTGTCTGACACTTGGTAACTTTTTCTGTAATTTCTTGGTCCAAATGTAGGCACCAGACTGGTAGAGACATAACATTTATGTAACTCTATGGTGAGGGTGTGTTGTGTGTCCGTAGCTGTTAATTTCAGGGGTTTATATAAATGATTGTCAATCTGTATTCTACGTTAGAGGGGCAGCAGAGGTATTTGAGTGTTAGGGCAGTGAAAATAGATATGGGAGGGTTTAGATGGGGGACTCTTCTCCCAAGAATGAGATCAAAGTAGAATTAATCATGATAATATGCATTATTTATAAATGCAAAATATAACTAGAAATTCTGCTATTGCAAGCAATTTGTATATGTCACCCCAAACTTGAGTCAGACCCAAACACTGCAATATTGAAGTTGAAAACATTAAGTTATAGGAAGTATGGACAAAGTTACCACGTGTTACATTCAGGTGCTAATGCCAACCACCAAATATGCAACGTAAAATGATTCAGTATCCGAGACAGTGCTCAATGCAACCAGGTGCAGGGTGCTACTTGATGCTCAGTGTTGCCGGTGCCAAAATGCAGTCTGTAAATTAACTTTAGCTAAATTCTCAATAAAAATGGAAGGAATTATTCTAAATTCATCATCATAAACTTGCACAGTCAATAATAATAAGTGTATACTAATAAATTAAGACACAAACTTTGATGCAGGAATCCCACACTGAGTAGTCAATATCTAGGCAATATTTTAATACTTTAAAATTTAAAAAAAATTCTCAAATATTTCTTAAAGAATTCACAATTTTTTCGCCATTTCTAAATAGGCTAAAAAGTCCTAAAACTAATTTCTAACTTAACTAACATATGAAATTACCTTAATCTTTACTGGTACAGTGCGGACTCGTTATTACAATGTTCATTTTGTCACTGTAAAATATCGTAATACCGAGGGCAACGTAATAAAAGTTCCCAATAAAATCCAGTAAAACATCATTTTGAAAGCATGTTGTTGTATTAGAAGGTGTATTTTTCTTCTTTTGTTTCCTTCTTCTGTTCAAATTCTTCATTAAAACGCTATATACATATAATTTATTAATAACTTATCTTGAATAGATATCTTCATAATGCTATTTCTTCTATTTCCTTCATTTTAAAATATTTGTGCACATTTTTAATAAAAACTTCGGCAATCTTCAATTATCTGCTGCCATTTCCTTTTACTTTCGATTCTGTCTAGATAATGCGTTCGTAAAATTTTCAATGTCTTCGTATCGATATTACATAAACAACAACATTTTTAAAATTTATTTATTCACCATAGTAGCTTCACTACGGAATGCACTTCACCATTGTGTATTTCACTTACGCACTTCAAGGGATCCAGTCAATGAATTCCGTGATCTTCCTCTGTTTCTTGGCCCTGTTTAGGATTTCTTCACACTTATCTTCCAAGTTGTAGATCAGCTGAAAATCTTCCTCATTTTTTCCTCATAGAATCTTCTGAATGCCTATAACATACTCCGTATTTCATTGCCGGTAAGCGGTAACTCAAACTCGCATTCTTCATCTTCCTCTACACTTTCTTCACATTCTTCTTCTTTTGCTCCCTGTTTTCCATGAATCTTCGTCTGTAGGCACATGGTGGCACTGAAGGGTGTTGTCGTGGTTGATGAATTCCTCAAACTCCTCTCTTGTCATCCCAGCTGGAACGTCGGCTTCTTCGCTATCCTCACTCTTTTCCTGGCAGAATCCGGTTTTCTTGAAACAATTCACGATAGTGCTGTTGGTGACTGATTTCCAAGCTTTGTTGAGCAGATGGACGGCATCAAACAGGGTCAGGCGTTTTGCAAGGTCGTTGGCGGAAAGACTCTGGTCGTTGATATCGCTGATGATCTTCTTCACAACTTCACTTCGGTATTTACACTTCATATTCCTGATGATCCCCTGATCACACAGCTGTATCATGGATGTTGTATTTGGTGGTAGGAATTCCAGACACACGTTGCTGAGAAGTTCCGCTGATTCTTTAGGGTGGGCACTGCAGTTGTCGACCAGTAGAATAACTTTTCGTTTCTTGCGGCACATGTCACGGTAGAACTCACGAATCCACTCACTGAATATTTCACCGGTCATCCAAGAATTCTTGTTGGCTTTATACACTACAGGAAGACTTTTTCCTCTGAAGCATCTTGGATCTTTACTTTCCCCTATGATAAGAAGTTTTCTTTTGTCATCCCCACTCATGTTAGCACACACTAGAGCTGTCACATGATCTTTGCATTTCTTTGAACCACTTGCAATCTCGTTCTTGAATGTATGGGTGCTGTCTGGAATGGCGCGGTAGTAGATCCCGGTCTCGTCGGCATTGTAGATATCTTTGGCTTTATAATCTCGAATTATCTCCGGAAGAACCTCCGTGATCCAGCGGTCGGCAGCATCTGTATCGCATCTTTTTTCTCTCCGTGCAATTTCTTGAACCCGATGTTCTCCCTGGCCTTGAACCTCGACAATCAGCCTTTACTAGTGTTGAAATCCGTCACATTCATCTGTTTGGCAAATTGGGCTGCTTTTTCCTGTAGAATAGGTCCGCTGATAGGGATGTCTCGTTGTCTAGCTGTCTGAAACCATTCCTTGAGTGCGCTGTCCAGGTGGGCGTTATTTCCAGATCGCTGTCATTTCCTCTCTGGATTTCCACAAGATTCATAATTTTCCTTGATCTTTGCGCGGTTCTTGGGGATTGTTGAAATGCTGGATTGTACAATTCCATATTGGCGTCCTATTTCCCACTGAGATACTTTTTGATCAAGAAGTTTGACGATTTCATACTTGGTGGAAAGGGTGAGATCCGTCCTCTTCCTTTTAGCGACATGTTGATAATTTCACAAACACAAACACTTTAAAAGCACAACTTCACTCTAAAAATGAGGCACTACCAACTGACATCAACTTCTTTTTGTCCTACATGTAAGGGATCTGACAATGCTTCTATTGAGTTTACTGCTTTTATACTGTGATGCAGTGATGCAGCGACTACGTCATATGCATAATGTAAAACTTCAAAAACAATACTTTTATTAATAAACTAGAATAAACCAATTTAATAATAATTCTCCACAAAGATCTATTTTATACATCTATAATTTTAAATTTATTTTAATTTTTAAGTTTCATATTTCTAGTCAAGAGTTTTGTATTCAGAAACTGTTTGTCTGCTAACAATTGGGATTTATTTATCTCTACCATACTGTCAGAAACTGTTTGTCTGCTAACAATTGGGATTTATTTATCTCTACCATACTGTTTCTGCAGTTACTGAATATTATGCAATTCCAGTTATATTTTAACGAAATCCCCGGTAATAAATAAATCTTTTAATGCTAAGTTCTACCAGACTTCTATTTAATCATAATGATTCTTAATTAGGATATTCTTTTAGAACAGACAAAAGTGAAAATATATACTGCAGGTAAATGTTATCCACGTAATCAAATTAAGCACTAATTTTTGTTGTACTATATGTAAACATGCATCTTTTGTTCAATGAAATATATATTCTGAACAATACTAGAGATTGACTATGCAGGCACAACACACAGTATTGAAGAACACATTAGCATGCAGTCACATGATAACAGCTAGCAAATCTATCTCCTGAAGAAGTTTAGAGGCAACTGTTACTAGTTAAGTTAACCCCTTCATCTGTTTCTATGGCAACTGTTGCAATTTTGAATGTTGACAGCTCAACTACAAATGGTGATAAATGATTTTGCAAAATTTTGTTTAGATTGTCTAAGCCACCTCTGAAAAACTATAGGTGATGGCAAAAATGGTCACCTATTTCTATATTCTTTTAAATTATTGGTTCTTTACATCCATCCTATCCCAATTTTTTTCAAGAAGCACTTTGACAGGAATAAGGAAAAACCTTAAAAAGGAGTATTCTACTTAAGTATAGTAGTGTGGTCCCTTTTTACACCTTTGGTTTACCGGTTAAATATTAGCAAACGGTATTTTGTTTGTTTTCTTGTGTAATATGAAGTATTTCTAATTAAAACATTGTGTATTTATAATGAATAATTAAACATATCAAAAAATACAAGCCAATTTTTAACAGCTATTGCACTAAAAAATGCCGGAACATTTTCCCCCGATCAGACTACGGTTTCTCTATTACATGGAAATGGGTGGAGATATTTAGATTAGATACTATAAAAAGAAGATCTTGGTATGATATTTTTCTTTCAGAGACGAATTATATGTTCAAGATTCACAATCGACTACAAATACATTTTTCTATTTACAAATCTTTGACAATAAAACGCTATAACAGGATGAACCATACAAGTCCATGCTGACGGATATAAAACTGAGTACGTTTCAACTGAGAGCTAGCACGTTTACTGGGGGCAATTACCCGTAACGATACAAATCCACGTGGCTTGTTTTGATTCTAAACAGTCATAAAGAGGTTAATCGCATGTAAATGAAGTCAGCGAAGAGATTCAACATCACAATACTTTTAATTAGAAAACATAGAGCACAAGGTTGTTCAACAAAGATATTTTCACTGAACCTTTACACATATAATATACACATTATATTTCAAACTCGACTCTGAACAAACCTGTGCTCGGTGTTTACGAAAGCTTTGAAGTGTGTACCTGTCACTGATTTCTTTTGATATTCATGAAAATCAAAGGACCCTATCTTCAACATGCAGCTTCGTATGCTGCCTATATCTATTGTTTGACATTTTTAGATGATGATTCAAATAATAAAGGCATTAGATAATAATAAAATTTAATTTTTAAAAATTTTAATCAATGTTCGAAATTTGACGAGTAACCGGGGACCACAGATAAGCCTTATTGAGACTTGTTCTTTAAAAGAAAAAAATTGGTTGCAAATTAATTATAATGAAATTAAAGAATTATCACTTTTCACCTGTTTCCTTGGCAACGGTAGCCATTTTTAAAATTTTAAAGGGTGACTGCATAACTACAGTTGGTGATTATTATTTCTGTAAAGTTTCATTTAGATTTTACAAGTCTTCTCCAAAACTTTTGATGGACAAAATCACTAGAAATTTGTTGCTAAATTGGTCACATGACATTATCTTTTCTTAATTTGTTCTACAGTCCATCGATCATTTTCCATTTTTTGCAGAAAGTTCTTTAGAGAATGCAAGGTACACTTGTTTGAAATTTCAAAAAGATTGGATTGGAAGTGATTGAGAAAAATGACATTTTAAAAATAAAGTGGACCTTCAAATATCCAGGTGTCCGGACACTTCAGCTTCCAGACAATGTTGCATGGGAACAGAATTTTTTAATGTTATTTTGTCTCATTTGTCCTGAATTCTACTTTCCATATCTGGGCAATATTTTTTCACCAGAAAATGCATTTTTTAATTATGTTTTGGTTCATTTAAATTGATTTATCTGGTTGGTAAGTTTTAATTTGTCTTTCAATTCAGCTGAAATTTCTTGAGCTGAGTGTTGTTGGGAAATCACTGGCCTGGCTTTTTGTTTTAGAAGACAATCACTCGCAACCTGTTATCAATGACTCACTGCAAGGTCAATTATAGGTCGATAGGTACGCACGAGATTCTGGCATCTCTGACATGAATCTGATACATATTGGTTAAGGAAATTAATTTAGTATATAAATAATTTTTTCGTAGTTGGTAATTATATTTATTTACTGATAGAATACCTACATGCAATTGTGAATTGCTATTTTTAGATATGACTCCAGAGTTTTTTATGAACAGTATTTTATACACAAATCGGATTCTGTTATTTGATGATATAATACATGTACAGTTAATGTCACATTAAGTATACGACAGTTTGCTTGGGTATATTTTTATCTCTACCTAAAGCAATTACCAATGGAGAACACTCAGTTAATTAAAATTGTACTTAAAGTTCAATATCAATAAATTTGAATCATAGAATTTAAATTGTATTGAGTCATGAATAATCATGAAACTTGTGTTGCTGTGTAATGTTGAAGATTTTCGAATTTCATGAAGGTTCATCATTGTTCATGAAGTATAAATTTTTTTCAATATGAATGTGTTCATGAATTAAATTCATGAACTACTTTTTTGAAGCTGTTTTGAATCTTTTATGAGCATTCATGAACAATGATGAACAACTCATAAAAGTTCTTTAAGTCATGAATATCATCTCGCAGGGGCAGTTCTACAGGCAGTTGGCTAGGGGAATTTAATTCTTTAGAAACTGAGTAGCAGAAATAATATATATGACCATATAAACAACGTAATATTCAGTGTACCTTTTACACGGCCAGGAACACGTTAAGTTCCTAGACAGTACCATTGTCAGAAACCTTTAAAGTTAAGCACTGAAACTGGTTCGTTGTCATGAACATACAGGTGAGGTTATGAAAAAATCCGTCCGGTGTCATACAAAATTAAGATACAAGAATTTATACATAATGCCTAAAATTTAAAGTTTTTGACAAATTCTAAGAATAAATTTGAATTTTGGGAAACAGATACAACATTCAGTATTCCATACAAAGATTTAATATGTATTTGATATCCTTAATACATTTTGAGGAGTTTTGGTTGGCGATCACATGCCCATGTGTGAGGGCATGATTGTGAGCTGGAAAATTATATATTTCTTATATTTAATTCATCGAAATGGTACTTTTATTTTAAAATATGAAGAGAAACTTCATTTTCAATGTATTAGGCAACTGACAGCCTTTTGTAGCTAACATGTTTTAAGAAAACGCAATTTATAAGCAAAAAGTCCGTTGTCAGTACATGTTAAGTTTATCTGGTCCGGTGTCATTTTTCTTAACATGCAAGTAAATCAATAAAATGCAACAGAAATGATCAAATATATGCTTAATTTAAAAGAATACAAATCATATTACAGATAATATTGAATCTGGGGTTCGTCTTAAAGCAGCTCATGCGAACGTGCTGACTATTCTGCGATGTTTTTATTCTCAATTCATTTTCTCTTAGGAACCTGCATCCTAGCTAGTATGCGCCGGTGCTATATCCGCCTTTGGTTATTGAGCAGATTTTTAAAGAATTTCTGTATACCGTATATTCCAACTTTTATCACCAATTATGCCCCCACCCTACCCATGAGGGTCATGATTTGAACAAAATTGAATTTGTTTTTGTTTGTTTGTTTGTATTTTTAATATCCCTCTAGAAAATTTTTCACTCATAAGGAGACATCACCACTTGCCGGTGGAGAGCCAAAAATTTAGACCTACATTGTATTCTTGGAACTCAGGGCCATTGAGAAGTGTGGGATCTTTTTCGTGCCAGAATCTACAAAATTAAAAGTACACTATGTATTTCACATAAGTATCATTTCTTCTGATCCAGAAGTTCTTGAGAAGAAAATTTTGAAAGAGTTATTCTTAAATATTCTATTTAAACTTTGATCACCTATTGTAGCCCCACCCTTCCCCAGATATGATCTGAATAAAAATGAATCTACACTTTATAATAAAGCTTTCACAGAAGTTTCAACTTTTCTGACACAATGATACTTGAGAAGATTATTTAAAGATGTCACTAATTTTACACTAATTCTTAACTATACATGTACTTCCTTGAAAGGGCATGACCATTAATTTGAACAAACTTGACTCCCTTTATCCACGTTTGCTTTCTGGCAAGTTTGGTTGAAATTGAAATTGGCCAGTAGTTCCTGAGAAGAAGCTGAAAATGTGAAAAGTTTACCGACAGACGGACGGACGACACAAAAATGTGATCAGAAAAGCTCACTATAGCTCACTAGAGCTATCAGCTCAGGTGAGCTAAAATGTCAACCCCTACACCAATTATATCGGTACTCGTATGAGAATTAAGCAAAAAAAAAATGAATTCCAGATAACATTACTACTGAACAAATAACTTTCAATCTAATATCCATGTATATGTAATGAGAAAAAAAGAATAGACTGATTTTTCAGATATCTCAAGAACTACGGTATTTTAACATATCATAGTCAAGTAAACCAATGCTGGACACAATTTTCTGAGCAACACCATTTCTCCCTACAGTATTGCGAGTAATGCTAAATAAATACAACTTGTTTACTTATTTATCAGCGAAACACTTTGTCTATTCTTCTGTCTGTCTAGCTGTCTGTCTGTCTGTCTCTCTCTCTTTCTCTGTGTATGTATGTCAATCTCTCTCTCTCTCTTCACGACCTTAGGCTGTCCAAAGTTAATCCTATGTTTAACGTCACCCGCGCGCGTAGGTTTCAGAGAAATTTGGCACTTTGAAAAAACAAACAAATCCACTTTTTTTTAATGTTTCTGTTCCGGTTTGCTCTTACTTTTAGCACCTAAAAAACTACATTCCATAGAGATAGACAATACTTGGGCCCTCTATGAGGTATATTTGAGCTGAGTCTAATCAGTCTATCATTTAAAGATACAGGTTTACTGAAATGATTATTTAACCAAGAGTCTGTACATGATTGCAAATACTTACAGTATTTTAATTCATGTAGATGAGTAGCCACTTATTTGTTTGAAAATTCTGTTTGTTTAAGTTTAATTTTTTCCTCCCGCCCTCGTAGGTTTTGAAGTTTATAGGTGACGTTAAACGTAGAATTAATTTCAGCCAGCCTTAGTAAATATTCAACACAATATATCAGCGACAAAATGTGCAAATGTTCACGGTACATATTGTCGCCGACGACAAAATGTGCCCATGCTTGACTGTACATTTTGTCTTTCATTAAATAGGAGGAAGAAAAGGCTCGTCTCGGTACAAATTGTCACCGGCGACAATATGTACTGATGGACGACGATATGTGCAGTCAGGGTAGGTACATTTTGTCGCCGACGACAATATGTACAATACGACAATATGTACCGTTACACTCCTCTTTTTGATGGCATGCTTAACAATACCTAAAACAACATAAGATCGTCCTTAGTAGTGTATAAAGTACAGTAGCGACAACGGACCGATGACAATGGACTGAATTTTCGTATCTTGTCATGACAACGGACAAAAAATGAAATAAATCAAAATTTTCAATTTTAATTTGTTCTCATTTTTCTGTAAAGGCTTAGAACATGTCTTGATACTGTCTGCACCAATTGGTGTGTATATTATATATTCTATTTACGAAAAATATAACATCTCAGTAGGAAAATGAATCAAATCCACAAGTGATTTCAACAGGGTTAATGTCGCCAACACAAACTCTTCTTTTATTACTTCTTTTTAACGGCTGAAATTCATACAACACCAAATGAGGTGTCAGCCCTCTTTCCCATTGTAATTTCAGACATTGTTATAGATAATTTAACTTGAAAAATGAAAAAATTCTCACAGTCTGTCTTCTCAAGTCATGACACCGGACAGATTTTATGATAACCTCACCTGTATGTTCATGACAACGAACCAGTTTCAGTGCTTAACTTTAAAGGTTTCTGACAACGGTACTGTCTAGGAACTTAACGTGTTCCTGGCTGTGTTTTATAAAGCAGCATTAATCATTATTGTTCATGGCATGAAAGTCCATATAACTTAAATCAAGGCAATTCAGGTATCTGTACACTTCACTTATCTGGACTGTCAATGAAAGTGTCCAGATTAATGAGGCTCCACTGTACCACTTTTAACTGTTTCCATGGCAATAGGGACCATTTTGAAAAAAATTAGATAATTGATTGCACAACTAGACTTGATGATCTTCATTTCAGTGATTAGTTTCATCAAAACTGACCATTGGGAAGCTATCTTCAAGTAAATGCTTGGACAATGTTATGGGTGGAACAATAGCAATATGTTGCCTGGACTGAGGAGTCTAATACTTCCTAAACATTAAAAACATTTCTTTCCAAGTATGAGCATCTCCTATTTCTAATTTAGAATTTATGGGCAAGGCAATAATTTCAAACAATTTCTTTTACCTTGCCTTACTGCATTAAAGTGAAACCTAATTCATTTGGAGAACAAAACAAATATAAATTTCTACCTTTACAAGAAAATAAAATTTTATTCTACCACTTAAGTGAGCTTCTACAGGAGAAACATTAATGACTCATTATGATAAAGAAAATAATTGTATCATCCTAACTCCAGTCATTATACCTTCCCAAGTAAGTCACCTTTCTACAAGAGCAGAATTTGTGGCAATCTTACTTCCTTAACCCCGGTATCTGTCCCATCTGTACCACAACTGTCACTTTCCACCATCTTTGTTATTCTAGAAACTG